CCTTAACCCCCCACTAGCTCAGTAAACACACTGAGGGGATCCCTTGGGGGGCCCTGCTGGGTTTCCCCTTTGGATCTCTCTTCTACTCTCCCCTAAAAAGAGAAGAGAAATAGTTAGTTGGCCTCCCTCTCATTCGTGGTGATCTTTACCCAGTTCCCTCTTTACAAATCAATATAGGAAGCCCAGCCCTTGAGCTGCTGCCAATACCTGAACACGGAGGAAAGCCAGACATTGGAGCCATGGGACTGGCACACACTGAAGGGTCATTGGTACCAAAGAAAACACAGGAAATCTGCAGGAAATGTGGGCCTGGAGAAATAAGCGTGCATGGCATGCACACCTGTGGGTGAACTCACGATTAGTGCCTGAGGTTGAAGGTAAGTGTCTGACTGAGACCGGCAGTAAGGAGCGCTGCCCCGGGCACTATGTGAGGGCGGTCTCATGGTAGAGTGGCAGCAGGGTGCCCCAAAGGCAAGTTTCCCTTTGCTTGGAGAAGTTATTATTATTAATGCAAATGCAACCAAGATCAGTCAGGCCGAGAGGCCAACCACCAACTAGATGACGGGATACGGTATGCAGGGACATGACCAGGCTGGGCTTAATGGAGGAACGAGCCGTGGGCAGGAATGAATGGTGGTGCTGTACTGTTTTCCATGTCAGTAAAGATGCTTTGGGATGAGAACAAAATGATTATTATTTTAACATTTATAATGAGGTAGCACTGAGAGGCTAGCCAGGCCAGGGCCCCATTGTACTGGGGGCTGTTAAAAGCTGACACAACCATGTGAATATGGGGTGGGTCTGTAGGCATAATCCTTACTCTTTAAGTGAACTTCATGCTGGTGAAGTGTGCTGGATTGGCAGTCCTGGAGGCTAATGTGCAGTTTTATTCACAGAACAGAGATTGCCCAGGTGGCAGTGGCTGACAGGTGGGAGCAGTTGTGGCATGTTGTGACGGGGGCGGGCAGTGATGATAGTGGTGGCAGGTCGTGAGCGTGATATGGCATCTGGAGAGGGTGGCAGTGGGTGGCAGCAGGCATAGGGGCAGGCAGCAGACTTTCCAGCTCTTGTGATATTATCACACGTTTTGGGATTTTCTGAGGTTTTTTAAAAGCGTGATCTCAGGAGCAACTGTGAATGTCTCAGGACTTTTTGCCTTTAGTATTACAAGGAAGAGGGAGAAAAATTGTTCTCCTTAACCACTGAGGACAGGACAAAATGCAATGGGCTTAAATTGCATCAAGGGCGGTTTAGGTAGGACATTAGGAAAAACTTCCTGTCAGGGTGGTCACACATTGGAATAAATTGCCTAGGGAGGTTTTGGAATCTCCCTGATTGGAGAGGTTTAAGAGCAGGTTAGACAAATACCTGTCAGGGATGGTCTAGATAATACTTAGTCCTTCCATGCGTGCAGGGGACTGGACTAGATGACCTCTCAAGGTCCCTTCCAGTCCTACGATTCTATAATTCTATGAAATGTAGAACTGGAAGGGACCTCAATAGGTCATCTAATCCAGTCCGCTATCCACTGAGGCAGGACTAAGTTGTTATCTAGATTCTAGACCATCCCTGACAGGTGTTAGTCTAATCAGTCTTAAAAACCTCCAATGATGGAAATTCCACAACCTCTCTAGGTAATTTGTTCCAGTGCTTAACTACCCTTAGCGTAAGGAAGTTTTTCCTAATGTAATCTAAACCTCCCTTGCTGCAATTTAAGTCCATTGCTTTTTGTCTTGTCTTCATGAGAACAGTTTATCACCCTCCTTTTTGTAACAACCTTTTCTGTACTTGAAGACTGTTATCATGTCCCACCTCAGTCTTCTCTTCCCCAGACTAAACACATCCAATTTTTTCAATCTTCCCTCAAGGTCCTGTTTTCTAGATGTTTAATCATTTTTTGTTGCTCTCCTCTGAACTTTCTCCAATTTATCTACATTTTCCCCAAAGTGTGGTGCCTAGAACTGGACACAATACTCCAGTTGAGGCTTATCAGTGCTGAGTAGAGTAGAAGAATTACATCTCAGGTTTTTCCTATAACACTCCTGCTAATACATCCCAGAATGATGTTTGCTTTTTTTGCAATGGTATTATACTGTTAACTCACATTTAGTTAGTGATCCACTATAACCCCCAGATCCTTTTCTTGGCAGCACTCCTTCCTAGGCACTCATTTCCCATTTTGTATTTGTGCAATTGATTATTTCTTCCTAAGTGTAATACTTTGCATTTGTCCTTATTGAATTTCATCCTATTTATTTCACACAATTTCTCCAGTTTATAAAGATCATTTTGAATCCTAATCCTGTCCTCCAAAGTGCTTGCAACCTTTCCTATTTTGGTATCATCCGCAGACTTTGTAAGTGTACTCTCTATATGCCATTATCCAAATCACTTATGAAGATATTGAATAGAACCAGACCCAGGACAGATTCATACAGGATCCCACTCGATAAGCCCTTCCAGCTTAATTGTGAACCATTGATAACTGCTCTCTGAGTACAGTTTTCCAATCAGTTTTGCACCCACCTTATAGTAGGTTTGTCTAGGCTGTATTTCTCTAGTTGTTTATGAAACCATGTGAGACCGTGTCAAAGCCTTATTCAAGTCGAGGTATATCATATGTACTGCTCCCCCCATCCACAAGGCTTGTTACCCAGTCAAAGGGGGATATCAGGTTGGTTAGACATGATTTGTTCTTGACAAATCCATGTTGACTGTTCCTTGTCATCTTATTTTGTTCTGGGTGCTTACAGATTGATTATTTGTTCTATTATCTTTTCAGGTACTGACGTTAAGCTAATTGGTCTATAACTCCGTGGGTTGGCCTTATTCCCCTTTTTATAAATAGGTACTATATTTGCCCTTTTCCAGTCTTTGAGTCTCTCTCCTGTCCTCCATGAGAACATGGCCATTGGTGACAGTCAGGGCAGTTGGTGGCAGAACACGGCCACTAGTGACAGGTGGGGCAGTTAGTGACAGAACACAGCCACTGGTGACTGGGGTTATCATCTTTGAAATGCAAAAAACCCAGCAATCCCCTCCCCCTAAGGCAAGCTTGCCACAACACCAACAAGGTAACTCCGCAACTCCCCCCCCTTCAAAAGCCACTTATAGTATCTAGAGAAAGAACACATATAGATAAGATTGATAACATCATTGATAATAAATGGGCATTTGTTTTATCAGCACATTTTGCCAGCCAGGCTTTGTAGTCTGTTTCGTTTAGCCAGTTATCACTGACTGTGCAGCTTTTTTTCGGGGATGTAGTAGGATCACTCGCACCATTGCCCTGATCTTCCATTATTTAATACGTCTCCTCACTCGCGTGACTCAAACCCTCTCTCACACACACACGCAGTGCACTTGCGTGTTGGTGGGTAGACAGCTGCTGTATTTTCCACAGTTTTATTCCGTTATCGCTTAAATTGTGGAAGTGGGAACACCGCAGCATCTTTAGCTGGACACAGACACTTCTGGGGGGCATGAAACAGTGTTCACGTCGCACTTCCTGCCAGTGCTCCAACCAGTGGACTAAATTTGGTGATGAATCCTGGTCACGTGCCCCTTGAGACACTAAGAAGAAGAAACTTTTAACATTAGCTATACCAATATATTGTGATAATGCAAATCTTTAGACCCACAGGAAAAAACAAAACAAAACCGGCAAATTAAATTATTTTTCTGGTAACTGGAAAATCCATAAAAAAATAAAAACCAGTCAGGCCAGTCAAATACTGGCTGGGTGGTAACGCTATTGGTGACAAGCAGGTGAGAAGACATGGCCGCTGGTGACAGATCAGGGACAGGCAGGGCAGTTGGTGACAGAACAGGGACAGGCGAGGCAGTTGGTGACAGGCGAGGCAGTTGATGACAGAGGAGGGACAGGCGGGGCAGTTGGTGAGAGG